ATTCACACACAGAAGAAGGCAATGGCAAACCACTTCTGGATCATCTGCCAAGAACGTATATGAACAGGTCCCAGTCCGAGAAAAGGCTGGAAGGATCCTGTTCATATGGACCTGTCGTCAGACAGAACACTATATGAAAAAATAAATACCAATATTCCAGTTCGCGACATGCAAGGTTCGTCTGGTATAAGCTCTTACCATTTCGGTGGACTCAACGACCGGAGATCAAACCCATCTCAAGGTATTTCTTCTACCTGCACAGGCCACAGAAAACACCAACGCATCCAGATTCGAACCTGGGACCGAAATGATCTAAGATTCTGTGAGCTTCAGGCCGATTTGTTACAGTGGTCGACTTATCCTCAAGAATGTTTGAAACGTTCGCTCGCGGAAAAAGTTCAGTTTCTACACACACACCAAAAAAAGTGGTACTCAGAAGCCATTTAACCCGATACAGTGGTCAACTACTAGCAGATGGTCCAACTGCACCACATTCTTGCAGTCCGCGATTTACATGTAGGAGTAAAAACGACTGCTTAAATTTACCTTTAACATAATTACCATTATAATAATAAGGATATGCTATAAAACCAAGGTTTATACTAGCCATTAAAAAATACCAAAAGTTCCATATAATGGGGATATAGAATCGATAAAATCTTCTCGGGCAATCAGCCGCGTCGACTGGTTACCGTAGTAAACCGACGTTTCGGGAACCAACTCTGTCCCCATCATCAGGGTTCTGATGTGACTGGATACCTCGGAAGTCGCATGAGTATATATACACAGGCGACTTCCGGGGGGGACATGATGGGGGCAGAATTCCCGAAACATCGGTTTACTACGGTAACCAGTCGACGCGGCTGATTGCCCGAGAAGATTTTATCGATTGTACTCGCCGCGAAAGTCTCAAATCCGGGATGAAGAATGTTCCCAGTCTATCTCCTATTTCTCCTTTCACCTCCTTCTCTTGAAAACGCTGGCATATGAATCGAACGGGGAATTTAACGGAATTTGGTATGAATGTCATGCCATCGGAGACCATCCGAACTCAGTTATACGATGGCGGACGTACGAACTGTGAGGTTAGTACAACAGCGCTACTTAATACAGAATCCTGAGATGTCGTAGTAGTAGATCTTCGAAAAACAGGCAATTTCTGACAACGCAATTTATTTTGTGGAATGTAAGACAACATGGCAGTTGTGCGAACATTTTCAAGTAGTTAGCAATAGGTTTTCTGCATTATATACTGTTTGCAAGTCAACAATTACAACGGCAACTGTGCGAGACTGAGGTTTGCACCCGTACCTGATAAGAATTCAACACAGTATCTGTGCGCCCACATATTTCCTCCCAAATAATTAAAACAACGGTGAGGAATTCAAACAGTTTCGGACTAGACGATGTTTCCGTTACCATCTGCTCACAAGATGACCAAAAATTCATTACACCGTTCCTACATTCTAAACTTGTGTTAACGCCGATATAAAATTAACAGAATGTTTGTAGGACGGCGCCGTAGGAATGTGGACTTGACGAGTTCTTCCCGGAACTTAAATTTACAAATTACGAACACCGTTTGCGAATCGTACACATCCAGGAATCTTAGAGCATTTCGGTGAAATCGATTCAACAGAGGGAAATTGTGCCAGTGTCCTAAATGATCGGAAATCACGGCTGGTCACATACACGAATTTATCAAGGCGTCCCGAGTTGTTACAAAGTACCATCGTCGCGTCGTGGTTAATCTGTTATCACTTCTGCCTCACACTCGGCTTCAAAACTTGGCCACGACCGGCCTCATGCCTCGACTCTGGTCCATCCACCCCCTCCCCTGTGACCTTATGTTAACCCAAGTAGTTGAAAAGCGTCTTTGCACAAACCGCGTTAATCTTATTACATGCGTAAAGAGTGCCCGGGATTCCAAAACCATCATAGTATATCGAAACGTCGCATATTCTTACTTTTCTGTGAGAGGTCCACTTGGATTTATTTCATGCTCTTTTCATCTGGTACTTTTATAAACCGGTACTGTAGACCAGTGGTATTCAACCTGGGGTACGCGTACCCCCGAGGGTACGCGAAGACATCTTAGGTGGTACGTGAAATTTAAAATATATATATATTATTTTATGATAAACACTGAATAATCAGTAATGTAATTTATTTAATTTATTTTAGATGTAGATTATATACTATGTATAACTTTAATTATACACCAACAACTTTGGAGGGTACAAAGTTGAAGAGAAATTATATCTGGGGGTACGCGAACAAAAAAGGTTGAATACCATTTGCTGTAGACAGCGACGCATTTAAATGCCAGCCCCGCGCTGAACAAAACTTGACAAGTGGATGAGATTACTCTACTCGTGTTTCTGAGAACTGTTTGCAATCTAATCATCACTTCCCGCCTGCCTGACCCTCAAACACAATGGCTCACACACGACGCCATTTGCCGCCGTGGGAAAGATTTTCATTATCGCTTTCCCTCAGTGACGTTTCACACACGATGCTGATCTGTTCGCACAGGGTATCAGCGCATTCCAGCAGAACAACCAGGGGTCTCAGCCCCTCGCAGAACTTTCTCCCCGCTCAGAGACACTTCCAACTGGGAATACAATGGCAAAACTGTACTCACCTTACAATGTGCGGGTGTTCATATTGGTCCAGCTGCTTCAGAAGCGCTATCTCCCGAAGCGTCGACATCGGAACACCATCGTCAGTGAGCGGAACGCGGACCTTCTTAAGAGCAACAATGTGGCCATTGTTGGACAAGTCACGTGCCTTGTACACTGTCCCATACGCTCCTGCAGGTACAACAACAACAACAACAAAAATAATAACAGTCATGAATCACAGGCACGATACAAAAATTATGCGTTCTTCTGATTGGTTTTCAACCAAGCTTCACGACAAAACAAATCTGCTATAGGCATATTTAAAAATAACTCAGAGCAACTGGAAATTGCAAGAACTTTTCAATTCCACTTTCGTTTCACGTACCCAGGAAAACCTAACCACAACAGAAGTTGGAAACTCGAATGAGAAACAACTCGGCATCTCGGTTTCCTGTGAGATGAGTTTCCAGTAAGTTATACCAGTGGTATTCAACCTGGGGTACGCGAAGACATCTTAGGGAGTACGTGAAATTTAAAAAAAAAAATATTTTATGATAAACACTGAATAATCAGTAATGTAATTTATTTAATTTATTTTAGATGTAGATTATATACTATGTACAACTTGAATTAATCACCAACAACTTTGGGGGTACAAAGTTGAAGAGAAATTATATCTGGGGGTACGCGAACAAAAAAGGTTGAATACTACAGAGTTATACAATTGGCTACGTAAAAAAATTCATTCATTCGACTAATCGAACTACAACAGAAGTAGCCTCGATTATTCGAGGCGAGATAAAATTGACCATGAATGTTGCAGGATCTGGCAGGAAATTAGGAAGAAAAGGGGGTGAATGCAATACCTCCCTCCCCTTCTCCAAATGCGCCAACAGAGAGCCACTGGGTCAACATTAGGTGGCACTGCGTATCGTGAGAGAATGCATTTGAATGAAGGAGAAACTGGTTTTCTATAGGAACATTGGGAGTAGCTGAAGATGAGTTGCAGTTTCCATTTGCATTGGAAGAGGCTCTAAGTGCAGTCAGATAGCAGAGCAATTCCTTTCCTGTCGGCGTCAGAGACTGACAGAAGAGGTTTGTTGTCGTGGCCTCTGGAGGATATCGCCAATTGTGATTATTAATCGGTCAACGAAGGTGTCATCCAACTCCTACATCATCAATACTCCTCGTGTTACGTGTCGGATTATGTTTCGCCAGTGACCTCTTGTGACGCCGTTCGAACCAGCTGATGTCCGAGTAGCTGTTGCCTTCTAACAGAGCGAAACATAAACTTCGACGGAAAAGGAAGAAGAATTTGTTCTGTTTGGAGGAGAACGTGGATTAGGAAGACGAAATCAGCTCAGTTCATCTAGTGCACCTACTGTTATGAAGAAGTAGGAGTCAGAAGATAAGGATTCCATAAAAATCGCCTGACGGCTTCTACAAATCCTTACTTCGTGCGCGACCTCTGAAACGTTGGTAAACATCTACCAGACTACACAGCGCTACAACCCAGAAGACAGCTACCTCCAGTTTCCTTTCCAGACGCTGCATCTCGAAGAAACTGGACCCTTTGACTATCATTTTTTCAGACATCTATAAAAATACATCTCGGCCTTCGCCTGAAAGCCTCACAAAGCATGGCATCTGCATCTTGATTTTGATCGGCGTCTCTCCGAACGAATTAAAACACAAGAAACCTCTTATCTTATTCCGTGCAGGTTCATACTATAAAATATTCTAATTCAAGCTTTAGACCAAGTAAAATTTAGATTACTGTTTGTATTTTCATCCCCTACCACAACTTCACACTCGATTCTTTCTTCGTGTACGCATTTCGGCCAATTAGGAGATCTTCGTTGTGTTCATCAATGCAATATTCTCGGTTTACTGTACATAAAATATGAAACTGCAGTAAATATAAATCATCTGTTACAGACTAACATTAGTTATGTCACATTAATGGAGTTAAAAATTGTCAGTGGAACCACGGTTCCGGAGAATTTGACGTAAATACGTCTACACGGAAAGGAAGTTTATATATTGGCTTCAATCTAAATATTTCCTTTATACATGCTTTACAGTTGAGTAAAGTTTGATTAAGACTTTGCTTATTTAACTTGAATTAGTAAGGCTTCAGATGGGTCTGTGATAGATGAATGTAATGTAATGTAAAGTAAAGTAATGTAAGGTAAGGTAATGTAATGTAGTCTTATGACGTATCTGTGCACGTATATACACCAAGGTAATGTAATGAAATGTAAGGTAATGTAATGTAAGGTAACTATGTAGGTAACCATTGTTGTTTATTTGTTGATAAACAGATGACGTTTCCAAGGTAACATAACAATGAAGTTACAAATTTTCGTTTCCCTTTCTCGTTACATTTTTGCCGAATGACAGTGACCCTAAAATATAGACGTATTTACGTCAAAAAAATGAAATGTTGCATCCCTTCATTTCTAAAGTGGGTGCACATGATACGTTTGTTTCCCTGCTACTCATACTTACAAGTAAAGCTGTCCCGTCCCACTATACGCCATGTAGGCGCTTGGTGGGAGAGGTGGTATAGCTCCTACTCATTCACAACCTCGGCACTAGATGGGGGTAAGTGGTCAGCATCACGCCCCGGCCGGCTTTACCCCCCGGGGAAAGGGACCGTCAGGGATCGAACCGCGGTCGTCCAGCCCGCAGCTAGTCACTATACTGACTGAGCTATCCCGGCACATAATTATTGTTATTTTTATTAATGTTGTTAGGTACATCACTTGTGCCCTATGTTCCATGAGGGACAACAGGAATTGATGATGAGGAAGAACACTGCTCCTCTGAGTTGGAAAGATTCTGCCAACACTTCTCAAGGTCAACAGCGCTTACTACCGAGGCGTGCCCAGATTTCCTCAATTTACTTGACGAATTCCACCCCACGAGTTCTAACTGCAGGTCCTTCCTGGAACAGATCTCCCTATTTCCTAACACTCCTTCTATAACCCGCACGCCCTAAAACGGCTACCTACCCCAAACTTAAAACCCCTCCTCTGTAATAAAACCACTGCACAAACTCTCTAACAAATAAAGTACACTCCGCCCCCTTCAAACTCAACATAGTAAGTCAGACTTCAGATTTTCACAACGGCGAGCCTGAAAATGGCCGTCTTCCGTCACCCTCATGAGACCACGCGCCACAGCAACCCAGAAGACGGCGATCTTCGACATAAAAATGTTGCTGGAATGAAACCGAAGCTTCATCGTAACAGCAATGTGTGGACACTTACGACGTGGTCGACGATCTCCACTGGTGGTGGAGTTACACATTTACTTCAGACCGAGGATTTTCAACCTCATTTAGGTCTGAGGCCACATTCACCCGGAACCGCAAGATAGTAAAAATGAGGCCAATTTATAAAACATTTCGCGGCAATGAGTTCTTCCTGAGAAGCAAAAAGTCACACGGCCTCTCAAGAAATTCCCAAAATTTTATGGAACCCGAAGATCCATTACAGTGTTAACAACAGCCCGCCACAGGTCACTATCCTAAGCCAGATGAATCCAGTCCATACCAACCCATCGTATTTTTCAAAGATCCATTTAAATATTATCCTCCCACCTAGGTCTTCGTCTTCCTAGTGGTCTCCTTCCTTCTGGTTAGCCCACGAAAACCCTGTATGCATTCCTCTTATCTCCCATGCAGGCTATATGCCCTGCCCATCTCACCCTCGTTGACTTCATCTGTCTAAATTACATTCGGTGATGAGTACAACTTATGAAGTTCTTCATCTTGCAACTTCCTCCCTCATAGGTCCGAATATTCTCCTCAGCACCCTGTTCTCGGACACCCTCGACCCACGTTCCTCCTTTATTGTCAGAGACCCAAGTTACACGCCCATACAGAACTACAGACGAAGCCATGGGACATGAAAAGATGAACCGAGATGTTGGGTGCCTCGGCCACTGTAAACGTTCTCTAAAAGTACTGTCCGTTCAGAATATCAACCACTGGTGAAGTCCATTACATCAAAATAGCGTTCTTTTACAACGCCAAGTGCTGAAAAGAATAAATGAAGAAAAAAACCCCCGTAAGCCTAGACAAACATCCGCAAGGAACTGTAAACCCTTTGTCTCAAGAATCGCAAGAAAACATCAGCACCCACCCGAAGAACACGTGGAGCGCCACGAACACCGTTTTGTTATATGGCAGGAAGAGGGTCCCTTCCTTATCCATTTCGGTTTGTGTAGGCAATGATAAGCGTGTAGCGACGCCAGGTTTACAGATACAATCGCTGCTGTGTGCAGGGGCTGGCTCAGGACCTCAGCGGCTTCGCATACCACCAGACAAACCAAACTCGTTATCCACCAAACATGGACAAGGAATGCTTGTTCATCTCGGAGCAGCCTCCAGCACTACCTACCTACTGTTCCATAGGGTTTCACAAGCGCTCGCTTCCCACGGACCAGAACAGAACACAACAGACGTTCCCGGAGCCCAGACAAACGCAACCACAGTTCAGCAAAGAAAAGGCTTATCACGTACGGAAAACCAAATATTCCCGGTATCTCTTCAGGAGACGAATGCTAACTGCTTACAACGGTGGCTTTTGAAGCGGAATAATGGCGTATTCCAAACGGAGTAAGATGGCTGTCTTCTGGGTTGTACCGCTCTGTAACCTGGTAGGTTACCGACGTTTCAGAGGTGCTTGCCCAAAAACTGCTAAATATACAACTTATAAACTATACGTGCTACAGAAAACGAACAATGTACCAAGTACAAGAAATATAAGCTGCCAAATATAATACTGGACATACAAAGATGACGTCTCTCCAGACGCAATCTCTTATATTCACCAAATGCGTTCAAAAGTCGTCATAATTCCCGACACATCTGCTTTTACATCTCTAATGTAGGCCTCCATCCAATATCCCAAGACTCGATCTCGATACAAATTTACCAACAGCATCGAATACTTAGCTTTTCAGGAAATAATGTTTTAGTAAGTTCCAAAAAAAATGGTTCCCGCGCAAAATCCACTCAACACATTAAGAGCGTGTCACACCCACCACCGAATACAGAACAGTAAGCTACAAAAGGCAGGAGGCCGACATCACGCATATTTGACCCAGATCTGCCTTACTCACATCCTGGAGTGGAGCCTCGCCGTCCAACTGAGAACAAACTAGTTTTTGTTCCACATACAAAATTAAGCCACTGGCTGAAACAAAGGCCTGGGTTGCTAATACGAAAACTGACGACAGTCATGAGAAGGGTGGAAACTGACTTTTGCAGCATTTCACTGATCTTCCGCGACTCATCAGTTTCCAATGAGCCCTCAGGCTGTTCGGATGCACAGGTCAAAAAATCATAATCTTGACGGCGCGTTAAAATATGTGAAACTGTTCTCTTCGACTCTGCCTCGTCTAAATAAAACAATTATAAAGCTGCAACGTTTCGCAATCTCGATTTCTTCCGTCTTCACGAACACTGGGAGGAAGGGGCCAGAAAGCCAATCAGTTGGGCCCCTCGTTGAGGTAGGGCCTCCATGTCTGATGATAGCTCAACAGGGGCGGTTTGTTCCCCCCTTTTCAACTGAAGACGGAAAAAATCCAGCTTCCGAGGCCTCGTAGTCTTCTAGTTTTATACTTCACGATCTACAAAGTCTAAAAGAACAATTTCATTCATAACAACACGGAAAATGTTCTTCCACTTATATTTCGTCTTTAAATCAACAAGACATCGAAAGCAAGGGAAATCTGCGAATATTAAGGCTACAAACGTAAGTATCCGGATACAATTTTTCTGGCATAGGATGTCCAAAAAGGCGTTCAGTAAAGGATAACATGGGCATTACATTTATAATAATATTTCACACGTCTTACCGTTGCCGATGAGGGCTAGCTCCTCATAGTCGCCGTTGTCGCTAAAGAGTTTGGAGGATTCGGCCATGACAGTGCCGCTATCTGTCGAGGTGGGAGCTGACCCTGGCAGCCAGCTGCACTCAGTCGGCGCCACCTCAGGACCGTTCCCAACCCCGGAAACTGGACCCTGGGCCGCCAGCACGACGTCGTCCGACGCAGCGAGCAGGTACGTCACCGCGCCATCATACCAACAACGACGGCCTTCATATCACAACATGTCTCCTGCAAAACGAGCCAAAACCACGTTCAAACACATGTAAAGGACTCCAATTACACATTTATCGCACGTTACTTCCTGTCAATTTGATTCCCTTGTCTTTCGAGAACGGATTTACTTTTAAAATGGTTGTACGAAAAATCCAATCTTCTCATTTTCTAACACGTGATTTGAGAAGTTGCAAATAAATGAATATTCACACCAAAATATTCCAATAGTATTTTAGTAACCGGCAATGTGAATACCAAAATACAGCATATAACTAACTTCGTGGACCAGACAACCTCTTGTGAAGCTCAGAGTTCACTCAGCTAGTAAAAAATTCCACTATTTTTATGGAACCGGAGGGTTCACAACCGTGACCAAAGAGACCGCCACCGGCCCTATCCTGGACAGCAAACAAACTTAAAAATATGGAAGACGTAAAATATCCGGAAACAAGAACAATAAACCTTTGCCAGTCGGCCATCATACACTGACGGGAAGGTAGTGACTGTGCTTGGCCTAGCGCTGATGCTCCGTTCGCGTTACCAGACGCCAAATTGCAGAATATGAGAAATGTCCTAACTTGAAAACCAAATATTTCCGAATCCATGTTTACATGAACTTATTCACTGTATCTGGATCGATAACTCTACATTAAAATTTACACGTCTAATACAGAATCATCCTGTATCTCTGGTACTCATTACTGATAAGTAGGATTCCCACGTAAACGAGACTGCACTCGGCTAGATACACAATCTGACTTAGTCACAAGAACAACGTGGGGGCAGATACTAAGGGGTCATTTCTGTGATCAGTTTTCCTTTCAGTCGAAACAAAATGTGAGCCTTATCCGGGTTCTTTCGACGAACAGGTATCTTGTTTCAAGGGGAGTTCACGAGAACATCTGGATCAGAGGCGGAGGAAAATACACAGTGAAGACCCTCATTTTCGAGGCTGCTCTTCACCAAATACTCTTCCGGCTAAAAATGAATAAATTGGCGAAGCATGTAGCACGCGATATGATAAATGCGTATGAAATTAATCAACAGATCTTAACAGAAAAGACCACTAGGAACACCTGCGCACAGTTGGGAGGATAATATTAAAATGAATCTTAAATAAATATGATGGAGTGACAGTGACCAGTGGCAGGCTCTTGTGAATACCGTAATAAACTTTCGATTTTCATAAAACACGGGCTACCTAAGTCCCAGTTAGGACTCTGCTCCTTGGAGTTTAGCTTGTAGACGAACAGTCAGCATAGTGACTAGCTACGGACTGGACGACCGGGGTTCGATCCCCGACGGGGGCAAGGATTTTTCCTCTAGCCTCTGCGTCCAGACCGACTATCCAATGGGTACCGAGGTCAACAATCAGTAGGAGCTATACCTCCACGGCTTATACTTCACACAAGATAAAAATATAGCCCTTATGAACTAGACTACAGACGATCCGTGGATTAAAATGGGGCGGACACCCTACATCCCATTAGAGACGGGAAAAAAAACAAGAATACTAGACATCAACATCAAAATGACAAGGACAGAAAAGAAAATATGACTGGCAGACATCATAAAAAAGAAAAGTACTTGACGAGAGGCCGGAAATAAGCTTTCTGGCATGTACTGCACAAGCGCGGTATGATTACTAATTAATTCATCTGGCACTCTGTTTAAGCGCGTGTCTACAACCAGTAACGCTTATTGCGTTACTGGTAACAGACTAATCTCTGGACTAACTCTGAACAAAGTCGTGTCTTGTGCTGATGGATAAATTCCGAAACCAAGTGGTTCGGCCAGGAAAACACTGCTCATTTGCAGGACGCCACAAAACATAAAACACGGTGTTCACGTTGCAATTGTGGCTAACCATCGAATCAGGGGAAGGTAAAAAGATTTTAAAAAAGGTAAAACCTCGCCACGTCACCTGTACGCGTTTGACTATTTTACAAGAAAGGTACATCTTAGTACGTCACAGCAACAACGTCTGGAAAGTTTAAACTTAGAATGACGACTCCTTTAAGTTTCTCTAGACCTGGAGTAAAGAACTTCTAGAAGCATCTTCACATGACACAACGGAAACGGTGTTCAGCAAATGACTCTCATAATCCCTTTAGACAGTAAGGATGTATGAGTGCATGAGAACGCAACGAAATAAAAGTGAACAGGTGAACACCGAGCGCGAACAGTGCACCTAATACCAGCGGGAAGACAACGATTAGTTGTCTTTATCATCGCAACTATGAACGAGACAAGGAAACTGATGTCGAGGGAAAAACACATCCTAAGTGCAGACACGCACCTGTCTCTGTTTTGACTCATA